GTAAGTTATCGATAGGTTTAAACTCAATATAATTTTATAATGCATTATGATTTAACTGATTCAAAAGTTAAAGAACTCGAAATCATCTGAATAAGCAAAATACTTTTTCAAGAAAGCCTTAGAAATTAAACACTTTGGCTACATGAAATTTAGTCTATTAATCTAGATTAATTAAGATTTAAAACCCCAACCACCGATCGAAATTTTGAATGCCGTGTAATGCCAAATGAAATAACCTTTGTATATTATATTAATGAATGAATTTTTGTCCTGTGCCAAAATAATATTAAGTATGGTATGAGTGAACAGATCAGTATGATACAGACCAAAATTAAAAACCATACTATACTAATCAGCTGTAATTCCTAATTCTAACGATAATATATATACCAAATCAGTATCGTACAGATACTGATCAGTTCCTGATCTGCAAAACACCTTGCCAAAATTCATCTGAATCTTGCAAAACTAATTTTATTTCTGTCAGCAAAAGTTGGTGTTTCAGTTGTTTTCATATTTTTCATTAACCAAATCGATAAGTTATCGAGTCAGAATCAATAAGTTACTGACTTTGGCTAATGTCAAAAACTTATCATTTCGGTTATTTTTCAGGTGCCTCAAAATTTATACATAGAAATAACCATAATATAGATCTAACAATTTCATATGTATAATCATTTTTCAAATGTCACCAATTGAAAAATGACTCGATTCAGTTCTTAATGCTGATAAGACTTGCATACAATAATAAAACTGATCAATCGCATATTAAATGAATACGAATTTGCAATGACATAATACAAATAGTTCTTTTACTGTCATTTACTTTTTTTCTTCATAGTACTTTGGATTTATAAGCATCTAATTATATCAAAAAAGTCTGGACCTTTACTGCAGATGAACTACTACATGTCAAGTTCGTAATAATAAAAACTCTTAATTCATAATATTTACGTAAAACACTTTTAACCTAAAATATTTATATAAAATATTCAAAAAAGTCCAACTATAATAGAATTGTAATTTCTTTTAAGAAAATTGCTACAAATTATAATTAAGTCACTATCAAAAAATTTGCTATACTCGAGATGATGGATTCATTCTATTTGTTAAAGCAATTTTATTCAAAATATTTTGCATATGTATATATATATAATTTTGATTGAACATATATGTGAAGCGTAAATTTAATTAAATTGTTATAATTACTTTTTTTGAAATTATATTGACTACAAAATGGCCTATGCTGTTTTCTAATTTAAAAATAAAAATATGCATTAATAATTGAAATAAATTGAAAAATGACACAAAGCAATTTAAATATACACATAGGTTTAAATACGTTATAATAATTTCTTTATTAATCGTAAATTTATACAAATATCTGTTGAAAACACTGTACCATTTTCAAATTGAAAAATAAAATGCGTCAATTATTAATTGACATGAGTTGAGAAATGACATATAACATATATAGCCTGATTGTCTCATTATATAATAGTCGTTACGATGTTGGGGGTATATTCAACTATGTAAATCAAAACTATGTATAGATGTATATCAAATTTTATATTTGAATTTTTTTTTAAAAAAATTAGTAATCAGAATAGTGATTGGATTTATTTATCACTTATATATATATATTTTTAATAGTAAAACATGTTTTTAAATATCTAGGGTGAATCGCTTTACTTTTTTTAATTATTTTAACATAAATTTATTCTTAAGCATGTTTATAACAAAGTTACGTTGAAAAATTTTTTAACATTAATATTAAATTTCAAGTTGACTCTTTACAAAATCTTTGCTTCATATTATAAATTATTCAAAAGTGATATTTTTGTTATAAGTAAAATATTAATACTAGAGTATAAAAAATTTTAACGTAACTTTGTTTTAAATATATTTAAGAATAGGTTTATACTAAAATAATTGAAAAAGTAAAGCGATTCGTGCTAAACATCTAAAACAAGTTCATATAAAGTCCTTAATTACTAAATTTAAACAAAAATTCACATATAGAATTTGATATAAATCTATACATAGTTTTGATTTATATAGTTGAACGTACTTCCTATTGCGACATCCTTTGTAGTGTTTATTTATACCATTTAGCCCATCCTTCAATACTAGTCTTATTTATAAAAAATTTTATATATATAAAAAAAATCTCCGGGTGGCCAAAAATTTTTCAAATGTTATATAAACCAGGTTATTTTATTTGTACCGCCTTAGTTTTAATTTTTTTATTGAGATTTTTAATTTATTGCATCTGCAATATATTGCACCCCCAGATCACATGATGAACTTTATATTTATTAAACCTCAAAACCGGTTTATATAAAAAAATAAACCAGTTTAAAACCTATTTTAAACTTCATTTATCTACTTCGTATACAGTATAACAATAATAATTCTTAAACTTTTATTATAGATTAAAAACCATTGAAATTTAAAGTTTATACATATTCAATTCAAAAAAAAAAACTAAAGCACACAATATCAAATGCTAAAATAATGTTTTTATATGCTTTACACATTAAGATTTAGCCAAGTACATGCATATAAATACTTCATCTATTCTTTTATATATTAGTATCATACCAAACAGGTACAGTATGTACGTATATATGTAAACATATCTGATATATATCTGATATATATGTATATATGTACATTATCTAAATAATAACGATAAACGATAAACCCATATCAATATATCACAGTACCAATAATAATTATACAACAAATTATACATACCGAAATGATAATCACATTCAAAGTTGCTGATCCTCAGCTTTTTTAGAACAAGTTGCAACGTTATAACCCACCTCCTTACAGTAACTACAATGATTTTGTCTTCTCTTGCCTTTATTTAATGATACTAAATGCTGACCTTGCTTATTATTACAGTGGCTGGATAGCTTTGGTCACCCCCTTAGTAGCAACTTTTCTTGGGTTTCTAAGATTGACATTTGGAAATATATTCTCTTTATTTAATTCAATTTCTGAGTCATTTACTTGTCTTCTAATCTCTTTCTCATGTAAATCCATACGAGCTAAATACGTTTTAATCATCTTAACAAACTTATAATCCTGATATAAAAGACATTTATTCATAACAGTACGAACTAAGTCCCATATTTCCTCGTAAAATAATTGATCGTTTATAAAGCTAGTATTAGTATCCTGGACATTTTGTTTGTTACCATTATTAAATGGTTGTAACTATTCAAAGTGTAGATTGTTATTATTTACTTCCTGATTTAGACTAGAATCTGCAATATCATTTACAAATCGTTGCCCATAATAATTGGGCTCTATTATTACGTTATTTTTATGTATTTTAGGGACTCACCGAACATTGATAAGCTGCATGTTAAATTATGCTGCCTTTGTGATGTTCAAAAGATGAAAATAATGTCTACAAACAAGTCCTCTTTTTTGTTGTAGCAAGCAAATACAACTATATGATCCATCAGTAAGGCAAAAAACTATATGATTTATATTTGTTCTTGTGATTCTAGAAACTTTCCAAATCTCTTTAATTTTGGTATAATCTAATTGTTGTAAGAGGAATTGTGCACACAAAAATACACTATCAGGCTTGTCTTCAAAATTATCACTCTCAGATAGCTTATTTACTAGCATATCTTTAATTTCGTTAATGGTAGAATGGACCGAAAGATAATATGTGCTCTCTTTCATTTGATCGATTAAAAATCGCATAATATTTAGTTGCAAGTAACGATTGATAAGTAGTTCAATTTGTAGAAAAATTATAATATTAATGCTAGAAGGAACACTGCTAACCAAATCTTTATACTGCTTCTGTCTTATATTACTCTCATCACTATCTATTAAAACCTTCCTGAGCTCATAAAGAGATGTGTTACTGCTTTCAATAATACGTTTAAGATAGGCGTTTTGGCTTTTTACAAATGATATAGATTCAATATCAAGAGTAAAAAGTGTTGTTATAAATCCACAAGCCTATGACCTATGCCTATTATACAAATTATTTTGAAGGTATGTATTTGCAGTGGAATAATTTTTTATCATTTCTTCCCAATAATGATAAAACCATCAGGTATATTGGCATTACGGCATTTTCAAAAAGAGGAATAAAAATCGCCGAATAATGTACCAAGTTTTCTACGAAGTGCTTTTTTAATATTTTCTTTCAAATGCTAGATACAAAGAATATGATGGATCATAGAATATTCTGCTGTAATTGCACCTTCCATAGCAAGATCTCCATCAGTAACAAATACATTAGGTATATATCCGCAAGTTGCTTTTTTTGTCATATGTAAAACCCACTAATATGACTCCATAGTTTCATTACTTAAAAGTGCCTGGGCAACTATTCTTGACTTCATATTATCATCTATAATTACGAAAAGTGACAATGGCATATTATAACAATTAGTTTCAGCGGTATTATCATAACCAACTGATTCACCAAACTCATGCCACATTATAATTTGTTTAGGACTCATTCAGAATATCCCTGTAAGAGTATTTGTTTCTGATTCCCAGGTCGCTTCAATAAACCACCATGGATCCTCACGTTTTTTAGCTTGCAACTCCTCATAAAACTGTGCTGCATCTGTTGTATTATAATGTACTGATGGTTTATGCCATTGAATTTCTGTATAAAGATCCTTGATATAAACTGGATGAGAGAAGTACTTTTTTTTTTAAATTTTCCTTATTATTGTCGCACTAAAATGGCATTTTTTTACATAGAACTCAATATCTTTCTGCATCTCATTAGTAAATGCTTTCAGTTTCTCAAACTGTAATGTCTCAGGGCACATTTTATGATTATGTTTATTTTCAAAAGTTGTTACAAAAACACGTGAATTTGGGTTTTGTTTTAGGGGCCTTGAGAGGTTGATATGCCATTTGCAACCTTTTCTTATAGTTGTTCCAGCTTTTTTAGAGTTTGCGTACTGATATCTACCAAAATAACAACAGTAAATTGTCCTTTTTCGCATTACCTTTTCGTCTTTATTAGTTTGGATAGTGGTATTTCTTCCCAGTACTATCTTAAAACCCGTATATTCAGCATATTTTCGTACATACTCTTTTGCTTGATCAAAATTATTAAATGACTAGCCCTTTTCTAATGTAATAACTTTGCCATTTTCACGTGACATTTCGCCTTCATATAAGATTTCATCTTCTACACCAACATTCATATCGGCAACTACACCAATATCTATATTAGAAATCATGTCAACGTCTACACTAACATCCACACTAGCATCTATGCAAGAGTTCACAACAATGTCCAAAGAAGCATCTGCATCAACATTTACAGCATCCACACCAAAGTTCATAAAACCGTCTAAGCCAAAGTTCATAAAACCATTTGAACCACAGTTCATAAAACTGTCTGAACCAAAGTTCATAGCAGCTTCCTTATCGAAGTTCATAAAAGCATCTATACCAAAGTTCATAGCAGCTTCCTCATCAAAGTTCATAACAACATCTATACTAAAGTTCATAGCAGTGTCTAAGCCAAAGTTTTTAGCAGTATTTATGCCCAAGTTTATAGCAGCGTCTACACCAAAGTTCATAGCAGCGTTCACACCAAAATTTATATCAGCATTCACACCAAAGTTTATATCAGCATCTATACTAGAGTTTACACTGACATTTACATCACCACTTATGTTTGTGCCAGAATTTACACCAATGTTCATATTAGCGTTTACATCACTTTGGCAAACTTTATATAAATAGCATTGAGTATTATTACTACTGTTTCCAAGCACGATTTTATCAGGTACGTTTATTGGTTTTTTACTATTTGTATTTTTCATGTTTAGATATGAGCGCATGTTAGCAAACAAAGGGAAAAAGAACTAAAAAAAAGCTAAACGACTTGTGCTATTTATGAGAATGGATCAATAATGTAAACAATCAGCTAGGTTTTAATTTGAAATCTGGTAGATCATCAGTTTGAATTTTGAACCCTGGATACAAGAATAGGTCGTCATTGTTGTTGATAATATAAATCAACTGCTGAGTCTGAATTCAAAATCTTGTGTCACGTGATCTGGGGTGCAATATGTTGCCTAGTGCAATAAATTAAAAATCACTTTTTTATTTTATTATATTTTATTTTAAATAAATGTTAATGATATTTAGATTATATTTAATTATACGTATATATTTATAATAATTATATTTTTTATTTAATATATTTATTTCGCTTGCTTTAATATAATTAATTTAAGTTATATCATATGAGTATTAATAAGTTCGAATTAGTTTGCATATATTTAAATGAAATTTAATTTATCCAATGATTTTTGTATTTAAATACATTATAGTATAAATTATATAATTTACAAAGTTAAATAATTTGAATTAGTTCGCATTAAATTAGATCAATTTTATAATAGTGATTTTAATCTAAATTTATATAACATGAAATTATTTACTTTTAAATTTGAATTATTTTAAATTCTTCTTTAATCGTAGTATTTATTTTCTTTAATTTAGTATAGTCAGATTTAAAACATATTAGATAATTTCAATATAAATTATATTATTTTAATATATTTATGATATATGCGAATTAGTTTGATTTAATTTGAAATATCTTTTAATTTTACTTAAAAGTTTCATTTAAATGTTTTAAATTTTGTTTAATTATTTTAAATATATTTTATTTATTTTTACATTGAGCTAACTTTTTCGAAATAAGTTATTCTATACTAATTTGATTTAATTTATTAGAAAATCTACTTATTTACTAAATAATCATTAGTTTTTTCAAAATGTGGAATCATATAAACATTATTTTTAATTGCTTCAATATCAATAATATTATATAATTCTGTTAATTTTAGTCTAGGATATCCAAGATAATATGAACTCTTGGTAGACTTAAAATTATATCACTGAATTAATGCGAGATTATGCAGATTTGCTTCAGTAGTTTAAACTTTGATTAATAAATATATCTATAAAATTAAAAATTTAAAATTTAATACAGTCTAATCTCCATATAATCACACCTTCGGGGTACAAAAAGTGGTGATTATATAAAGGTGTGACTATTATAGAGGGAATTCTATATAATCACAATTATAATAAAATTATTAAAAAAATATAAC